GCATTTATTTACAATCTGTAATAAGGATTACAATAAGTAAATTGTTTAATTACATTACAAAAGACTTGCAGGAAATTGTCCAGTGACAATTACCTATTAAATCATAATTTTAGTAACAAAATTATTTGTGACTCTAATATGATGTTTATAATTGGAGGGTGCCGGTTTACAACATCCCTTCCATGGAGCGGCTTGTGTGCAACAGTGTCTCTTTCAGAGGTTTTGTTCTTGCTGTAAGCCCAATTAGTCCGCTAGCCTTCGACAGCTCAGTAGAGAAACTAAAATGGACTTTCAAAGTTGCTTTTATCTGGCCTGTTGAATTGATATAGTGAAATAAAACAATTACTTGTTTAGAAAGAAACTGTAATTGAAAAAAGAAAGGGCAAGAAATAGAGCTTATAAAATTTGAGAGTGTAACTTATTGTAGGAACTTAATTTGAATATTACAATTTGCGAACGAAAGCGAAAACACCATAACACTTATTCACATATTACGGCTTCCCAGTCAATTGCGTAAACTGCAACGTGGAGAATCCTCTCCGAACTTTTGAAATATAGATGTTAGCCCTACGAAAGTCGCTAAATCACTGTCGGTGTACCTGGTCGCCTCCCTCGCCCCGCTGGAATATTTTTTTGTTTATGCATTTTGAAAAGCCGATCTGTCGTCAAGTAGGCGCTGTGGGCGGGGATTAACATTCTCAGAAACAAGGTCTAGGTAGACTGGATTTATTTAGGTAACCGACGCGAAAATAGAATTATTTGATACAAAATAGAATTATTGGTTTGGAGGTATAGTTCTCCAACAATAATAAATAAAAAAAAATTAATTTAAAAATTTAAAATCTTGTTGGTGGATAGCTTGGAATGAGACGATTTAGCCTTCTGTTTGCCTGGGATCTCATAAGGTTCTTCGCTAGCCTGTTGAGCTGGTTTTGCAGTCATCTGTCATTTTTTTGGGAGTAACTGGCAATTTCTTCTTTGGCAGTTTTTATCTAAAGATCGCGATTGATGAAGTTCTTTTAGAATTCTTGCAGTGATTAAGTCAAATCCTGGGGACTTCTTCGGATTCAGATCTGTTTGGATTTTGTTGAAAACTCGTTTGGCAGTGAATTTCTCCAATGGTGCTACTAGTTGGTATGGAGATTCTAAATACGATTGTATATTATCTTCTGCATCGGGGTTGTGGTTTTGAGTATGTGATTGGAACACTTCCTCTAGGTATTTTGCAAAGACTGTGGCTTTTTCTTTGTTACTTTTGGTCCATTTTCCGTGACTGGTCTGGATAGACGAATTAAAAAGTTGTGGTCGATTAACTTTTCGTGTTGCCTTCCATAATGAGTATTCGGATTTCGGAGGCTTCCGTGGCAGACAGATTTTGTAAATATCGTTTTATGTCATTGTTTTTTATTGTTGTTTAACAGTGTTTTTAATCTTGCTGTAGCTTGGTTTAATCTATTTTTATCCTGAGGTGCTCGGGTTCTTTGCCAGATTTTCCTTAGTCTTCGTATTTTTTTTTTATTTCGTTGGGTAAGTATTTGTGTACGATTGCTTTTGTTTGTGTAGATGTTGACTGTCAGCCAGCTTCCAGAATTATCCTATTTAAATTGATCTACTGCTTCGTCAATATCGACATCAGATTTTAGTGGAATGTTTAGATCCAGTCTGCCATCAAGAATAGCCCGGAATTTAATCCAATTGGTATATTTATTACTAAGATATGGCTGAGATTCTGTTTCTAGGATATTTGTGGATATCGTGACCAAGACAGGAGAGTGGTCGGATGAAAGATCGAAACAAGATTGTGATGTCTGAGATCCGAGTGGTATTCCTTCGGTCACATAGAAATCGACCAAGTCTGGAATTTTGTTTGTGTGTGTGGGCCAGTATGTGGGTTCGCCAATGAATATGTATTTAAGGTTGTTGGTTTCCATTGCCATATATAATTGCCCACCTTTCGGGGTTATTGACCTGGATCTCCAGTGAGTATGTTTTGCGTTATAATCGCTGCCTGCTAAAAATCTGTTTCCAAGGGTCTTGAAGAATTCTTGGTAATGATTATTGGCTATGGTATGTCGTGGTGGACTGCATATTGCAGTTATTATTAAAGGGCCGTTCAAGTCTTCTATGCTAATACTTCTTGCTTGTATATAGTTTATTATAAACTTATTTAATTGATGGTGTTTTATCGATAACTTGATTATGATTGCAGTTCCTCCATGTGCTATATATTACATAGTTGGGAATTTTCAGATAACTTCTATTTGAAAAGTGTGTTTCAGATATTAACATTATGTCGATGTTGTGTATTATTATAAAAGCTTTATCCTCTTGAGCATGATTTGCTAGCCCGTTGGCATTCCAAATAGCTATTTTTAAGAATTTGAATATTTTGCTAATTTAGTGACCATGGCGAATTCGAAACAATATTGCGAAGAAAATCTAAATGCAGACAACGAAAATGATCAGAACGAGACAATATATTATACGGCGGAGCTGCACATCGAAAATCCGAGTTATGAAGAAGTAGTTCAGATAATAAATAAACTAAAAAACAATAAAGCACCAGGAACGGACGGAATTTCGGCAGAATTATTAAAGCATGGAGGATCCGAACTCTGGGAACGAATTCATTACCTAATAGCATTAATATGGACGAAGGAGCAAATGCCAGAGGAATGGACAGTTGGCTTCATACAGCCAATATATAAAAAAGGAGATAAGAGGAAATGCCAGAATTATAGGCCAATTACATTGCTAAATGTAATATTCAAAATTCTTTCTGGCCCTATCAACCATGCTATTCAACCTAGTTCTTGAGGCAGTCATCAGAAAAACCAATATAACCGGCCATATAAACACCAAATCAGTACAAATTACTGCATATGCAGCCGATGTAGTCATCATTAGTGGGAATAAGCCACGACTAATGGAAGTGTTCAAACAAATTGATCCTGAAGCAAGAAAAAGGGGTCTCAAAATAAACGAAGTATATGACAGTCAAAAGAATAACTGACAATGAAAATAATATCACAATAGGCAACTATACTATCGAACTAGTGGATGCCTTTACATATCTCGGCACAGAAATCAATCAGAAGAACTCCGTAAGTAGCGAAATTAAGGCACGTATTTCCAGCGGGAATCGTACATACTATGCTAATAAAAGATTGATGACATCGAAAGTATTAGATAAAAGAACCAAAATGACTATCTACAGAACACTGACTAGACCCGTAGTAACCTATGGATGTGAAACTTGGGTAATGACGAAAAAAGATGAAGCCCAACTCAGGACATTCGAGAGAAAAATACTGAGGAAAGTATATGGCCGGGTACAAGAGGAAGATGGCACATGGAGAATCAGGAGAAACGACGAGGTTAATGAGTTAAATGAAGGTTATGACATTGTAAGATTTGTGAAAAGTCAAAGACTGTCATAGCTGGGACATGTGCAGAGACAAAACGATGCAAAAACAACAAAGAAAATGTTACAATGGAAGCCCATAGGAAGGCGAAAAAAAGGAAGGCCCAGAACGAGATGGTTGGATGACGTGGAAGACGACCTGAAAACAATGAACATAGGACAATGAAGAAAAGGGGCACAAGAGAGATCTGAATGGAAGGACATAGCCAGACAGGCAAAGACCCAAAGAAGTGACGACGGCGGTAAGCAGATTTAATATTGTACCCATTTGTTGCATCAGGACTTTTACCATATTCTTTAGTTCAACCATGTCATTTGAGACGGGAATAGTGGTAGTAGTTACTTCTGTTTGATTACTATTAGGAATTACTTGTCAGTTATTAACTATTTGAGCGTAGGTAACTCCTGCTTGAACATGATGTGAGTGAATAATCGGCATGTTAGGCTTTGGTCTAATCGTTGCGATTTTTTTTGTTTGTAGCTCCTTGTGTACTTTACAACCTTTGTAGTTTGCTGGGTGGTCTCCCTGGCAGAGTACACACTTAACATTGGCTCTTCTTTCTTTTCTAGTGCATTTCTCTCTTGCATGATCCCCAGTGCACTTTACACAGCGTGGTCTAAGGTGGCAGTATGACCTGGTATGTCCTTATCATTGACATCTAGAGCATTGTGGGAAAATAAAATAGATAAATAAATAAAGTTCTTGTATATAAAAAAACTTACATAAACGAACAAAGGTGGTATATCAGAACAGAGTATTTTATTTATTTTTTTTTTTTTGATAAAAATAAAACGATTTTTTTTTTTGTAAAATATAAAATTTTGTAAAATATAGGTGGTAATTTTTATTAAAGGTACGGAAAATCCCGACAATGTAGAATATTTATTTTTAAGAAAATATCGTAGGCTTGGCCAGACAGCCCACTGTCGTCGAAAAAAGTTTCTATCATTACAAAAATTAAAATGGTCGATTCTGCCTTTAAATATTATTAATTATTATTATCAGATCGATCGATCGATGAGAACTACAGCAAATGATGGAAACTTACAGTTCGGTGTTACTAATTCTATTGATCCCAGCAGGATGCGCAAGAAACAGTAGGACCCCCACGGGTGAATTACCTTAAAAATTTTAAAATACTTTAAGAAATGTATTGTTATATCTCATCCAGTTATTTACAGCTGTACTGAAAACAGAATACCTGCTAGTATTCCAGTCGTCAGAAACGAATATGCCACTGAATCTTTAAAAAGCATACAAATAAACTAAATTTTGCTCAAAATGTCAATTTTGAGACCGCAAAAATGATGCAAAAAAGTTTGCACTTCTACCTCGGTTTTCCCTAAATATTATACATTTATCAACATATTTCAAATACATTTGAAATGAAAATTTTATAAAAATCAATGTTTAGTGCGTCGTCTAATGGAATTAAAATCTACTTATTAAGCAGGAATCTTTCTCTTATTGTATTATATGAACATAAATTCACTAGATGGCAGTCACTCCTCTATTTTAATAAATAATCTGACAATACTGTCCTTGAATTGAATTTTTTAGGTTAGAGTATGTTTATGAAATGAAAGTGCAGATGTGAACTTGTTAAATTTAAGAGAATCGGGAACTACAAAATACTTAGTTCAATGTGATGTGAGTCATTTATTTAACAACATAGTGGTCAAGCGATGGGGAATTAATTGCAATATCCGTTTTAGTTCACATTAGTCAGTAGAAAAGTGTAGTGTAAAAAGCGGAATTTTGAATTAAACTTATAAATTTATGTTTTTCTATGAATGTAGCTGACAATAAACTGCTGTTTTACGGAAATTGAATGGAAAAAAAGGTAATCACAAGTAGCGTTAAATTGTTTATTTATCATAAATGAAAATTACAGGAAATAGTAAGTTTTGTAGGCTGAAGTAACCCTGGAATTTAATAAAAAGATGTACTATCTAAATTGGTACTATTTGTCTAGTGGATTTCTAATCCCATACATATTTTTCTTTTGCTTTATCAGTTTTAGTTCAATGATAAGATTCTTTATTTATGTCATCTCTTTGAATAATCAGATATTTATCAATTTAATTTTTAATCCAATATATATTTAGTTAGTAGATTTATATTTGCGAAATTAAATATGTTTATATTTTTGAAGTAAATGAATAAAATGCTTTGTCAGTAAGTACATTATCTCAAAATTTCAATACATTAACATACCTTGTACATTGACACCACTTTTCTGTGATTTTTCTTTGTTTAAAAAAATCTTACTGCAATAATTGTGCAAGTAAGTTGGCAAGTTCAGTTACCTTATTAATATTTTCCATATTGAGGTAGTGTCAATGAATGTTTGTCATAAATAACAACCTTGATTTCATGTGAGATTTTTCTATTGTTTATATGTTTTTATTGTGGAGTTCAGTGTTCCTTGAAGTCATCAACATTTATTTTTATTTTTTTGCAGGTTTAAATCATAATCAACAATGGAGAACAACAAACAAGAAGTGGAAGACATGTCAGAAACCGAAGAAAGTGGAGACTACCACGAAAATTCTGCAAACAGGCCCAGTTTGGGATCTATAGGATCAGATGGGGATTATGATGATGAATTGGGGGTACCTGCTTCTATTAAAGTTGTGGACATGGGTGATGGGCCTGTAGCTATTGAAAACTCAGATGATGAAGTTGAAGGTAAGAAGTTACTATATTTATCAGTGGTGATATGTGATATTTGAGTTAAAGCAGTGCAAAAAGCTTTTTACCCAACCTTAATAATTTCGAATAATTGATGGATTCGACCGTTACTTGATGGAAATTCATTTTATGTAACAATAAAACACTGAAAACTTTGTTTTCAAACTTCCACAAAATTTATTTTAAATATTATCACTACAGCTGTTTCGGCTGATTGCCTTTCTCAAGTGATCTATTTTGGCTTGGGTTTACAAATTTATAGTCTCTAATGAAATAGGTTGAGGAGGGGAGAACTGTTTGTCTCAAGTTGGTCATTCAGAATTATATCTGTGTTTTTTAATTTGTTGATTTCCATAGATTCTAACAAAGATAGCTTAAGGCCTTTATTTTGAATGTGAAGAATTTTAAATTTGTCATTAAAAGAATGATTATGATCTAGAAGGTGAAGTGCGTATGTCGAATCTGTTTTTCTATTCTTGAAAGCCCTTTTATGTTCTGCTATTCGTTTATCAAAGTTTCTACCAGTTTGACCGATGTAAGTTTTTGGGCAGTCGCCACATTGGAGTTTGTATACACCACTATTTAAGTGTTTTTTATTTTGGCTCTTGTTATTTTTAATATATTTGCCTAGGTTGTTATTTGTTCGGAAAGCTGGTGTTATTCCTTTCTTTTTTATGTGTTTGGCAATTTTTGTTGTTATTTTTCCTGTATATGTAATCGAGCAGAAGGTACTGGGTTTTTTCTCTGGTGGTGGAAATACTAATTTCAGGGCTTTCTTGTGTAGTATTTCCACCACCAGAGAAAAAACCCAGTACCTTCTGCTCGATTACATATACAGGAAAAATAACAACAAAAATTGCCAAACACATAAAAAAGAAAGGAATAACACCAGCTTTCCGAACAAATAACAACCTAGGCAAATATATTAAAAATAACAAGAGCCAAAATAAAAAACACTTAAATAGTGGTGTATACAAACTCCAATGTGGCGACTGCCCAAAAACTTACATCGGTCAAACTGGTAGAAACTTTGATAAACGAATAGCAGAACATAAAAGGGCTTTCAAGAATAGAAAAACAGATTCGACATACGCACTTCACCTTCTAGATCATAATCATTCTTTTAATGACAAATTTAAAATTCTTCACATTCAAAATAAAGGCCTCAAGCTATCTTTGTTAGAATCTATGGAAATCAACAAATTAAAAAACACAGATATAATTCTGAATGACCAACTTGAGACAAACAGTTCTCCCCTCCTCAACCTATTTCATTAGAGACTATAAATTTGTAAACCCAAGCCAAAATAGATCACTTGAGAAAGGCAATCAGCCGAAACAGCTGTAGTGATAATATTTAAAATAAATTTTGTGGAAGTTTGAAAACAAAGTTTTCAGTGTTTTATTGTTACTTAATAATTTCAAATAATTTTAATACACTACACAATCTGGAGTATACTCCATTCCATGAATATACGACTGTTTTAAATTAGGTTTAAGGTCTCTATTTGAATGGTCCAATGTGCTGAATTGTCCAATAGTAAATTCTCCCTATTTTTAAAATACTATTATGACTTAAAATTTAAATATGAAGTCATGATATAAATATAGAGTTGATAGTTTATAGAATAAAAAAAAAGGTTAATCTTTGTAAATGGGTATATTTATTTAAAAAACCCTTAAAAGGGCCACATCAATAAAACAAACGTTTTCGGACCACACAGTCCATCATCAGGTTATTAAAATCGAAAATGCTAGGTCACAATGCCTGAGCCACCAAAATATTAGGGTAAAAACCCTTTAAATTACATTTAGTTATGAAATATTGTACATTGTGTTATAAAATAACTGTGATGAACTGGTTCAGTTTATCACAGTTCACAACGTGGAACTGAACTGGTTCAGTTCCACGTTGTTCTCCGAGTGCAGAGGTTCCCTCTCACCGGCTCTGGAACCCAATTGAGCCATGTGTTACCTACAGTCAAATTTAATTTAATACTGAACATCACAGTTATTTTATAACACAATGTACAATATTTCATAACTAAATGTAATTTAAAGGGTTTTTACCCTAATATTTTGGTGGCTCAGGCATTGTGACCTAGCATTTTCGATTTTAATAACCTGATGATGGACTGTGTGGTCCGAAAACGTTTGTTTTATTGATGTGGTCCTTTTAAGAGGTTAATCTTTGTAAATGGGTATATTTATTTAAAAAACCCTTAAAAGGGCCACATCAATAAAACAAACGTTTTCGGACCACACAGTCCATCATCAGGTTATTAAAATCGAAAATGCTAGGTCACAATGCCTGAGCCACCAAAATATTAGGGTAAAAACCCTTTAAATTACATTTAGTTATGAAATATTGTACATTGTGTTATAAAATAACTGTGATGTTCAGTATTAAATTAAATTTGACTGTAGGTAACACATGGCTCAATTGGGTTCCAGAGCCGGTGAGAGGGAACCTCTGCACTCGGAGAACAACGTGGAACTGAACCAGTTCAGTTCCACGTTGTGAACTGTGATAAACTGAACCAGTTCATCACAGTTATTTTATAACACAATGTACAATATTTCATAACTAAATGTAATTTAAAGGGTTTTTACCCTAATATTTTGGTGGCTCAGGCATTGTGACCTAGCATTTTCGATTTTAATAACCTGATGATGGACTGTGTGGTCCGAAAACGTTTGTTTTATTGATGTGGCCCTTTTAAGGGTTTTTTTAAATAAATATACCCATTTACAAAGATTAACCTCTTTTTGTTATACGTGGTATACAGCCAGCTACAGGAATTTTTCCTTGTGGATTTAGTTTATAGAATAGTTATAATTCAGATTTTGAAGTATATAATTACTATCATTGATTTTAGTATTGTAGACAAGTTGGTTTTTGCATTAAGTGATTTAAACTAAGTGTAACAATACTTAGGTGATTAAATAGTGTAATTTATTTAGTCAAATATTCAATTAGTATTAAAAAAACAAAAAGAACTTACTTATTCTCTTATTCTCCTAATCTCCTAAAACTATCATCAACCATCAGATTCACAGAACTTCACCATAGGAAAGTACATTAAATATAAAGTTACGGACAGTTTTTAAAAATAAAATCAGTCGGCGATATATGCAACTGTATATAAATGTTTGTTACTTTTTAATATCTGTATTCAGCTTCAACTACCAATAGCCGGTATTTTTTACCCGTTACTTTCGGAACTTTAGGTGTACATCCACTCAAATCAAACAAATATTTAAAACTAACAAAGTGAAATTATAGATCCTTTTTCTGGTTTCCAAACCATCGTTCTGCCAATTTCTTTACATTTATATTAAAAGTATATTTCTTTTTATTACAGTTGTAGTAGGTACCTAATAAAGTAATAAAAAGTGTAATATCAAAGAAACCTGGCACGCCTCTTTGGTGTTTACGTTTCACGGAAACCCAACCCAAATGTCTTATGAACACATTTTGGCTTCATAGAACTCATTGTATTTATTTGTAGAACTGTTCGCATAAAAATTTTTGTTATTTTCGGATTAAATTTCACAATAAATTTTGCGTCTATCTGAACATATATTAACTGAAATAATTTTAGTGTAAGTGTCAAACTAACAGTAAATCCATTTTATTGGAATACTGTTTAGACCAATTTACTTTCATACTTCTACTTGCACAGTAAAATATTCGTTGTCGTAATAATCCAAAACAGTCGTATATTCGTGGAATAACCTATAATTTGTGAGTTGAAGTGAAATACAAAATTCTTGCCCTTTTTGCTTTAGTATAAAATACAAAAATATTTTTTTTAATTGACAATAACATCCCTAAATATTTAAAGAAAAAACCTTTTAAAAAAAATTATTTATCTTATTATGGACAATTTCAGTTGATTAACAAACTAGATAGAACATTGATTAAGTTATCTCACATATTGTTTCTTTAAAAAATTTTTGTGTGCCTATAAGTCAAAGAACATTGTTTAAATTCTGATTGCAATAATTCTATAGTCCCAACAAATATTTTACAAAATTTTTTTCACACCTGTCAATTGTTCCACATATACAGAGTGTTTCAGAAAGGTATGTCATAAATTAAATAACGGATTCCAGGGACAAAAATAAATTGATTGAATCCAACTTATCTTAATACAAAAGTGTACACAAAAAAGTTACAGCCCTTACAGAAGTTACAAAATAAAAAATTGTTTTTGCCTTATCTCCTAAACTACTAGAAATTTTGTAATAAAAATTGACATGTTACTTTCTTGTTCTGAAAGCATTTTTCATAAAAAAGAAGCAACAAAATCTAAGTGCACGGAACAATTTTAAGATGGGTGTGCAGCCTTAAATAACCCCAAATTTTTGAGTATGTTCAAATCAAATGAATTTTGTGGCATCATTAGTTTAAACATTATTTTTTAAAAAATTTTGCCTCATCACTTTTTTCAAAAAACAGTTTTTATTGAGTTACAGCTCTTTTCATTAACCTTTAAAAAATTACATGCAAAATCATAAACCCCCAAAAGGAAAAGTCCATTAGGTTAACATCTGGACTTCTGGGTGGCCAAGAAATAGGTGGATCACGACCCCTTCCAATCCACCGACCAGTATACTGCCGGCAAAGGTATTCTCGGACTTCATTACTGTAATGCGGTGGAGCGCCATCTTATAGTAAACACATATTTTGTCTTATTGCAATATTCCCTTCTTCCAAATACTCTTGTAAATCGTTTGCCAAGAACTGCAAGTAATTATCACCATTTAAATTGTTGGGAAGAAATACTGGGCCTATTAAATTGTTATCCAGAATTCTGGCCCAAACATTAACTTTGAAAGTCCTTCTGTGATGAGTAATTTTTTTGACCAAGGATATCCAGGTTCGCTCTGGGATCTGCCAAGGGTGTATTTTATCACCCTTGTTATTCAATTTATACAGTGAAGCCATCACAGAATTAGCGCTTACCAAAGTCAGTGAGGGCCTTATAATA